CATCTAAACTGTCATATCTGAGCACCTCTGCAAAGACAGTGATTATGTGTGAATGATGGTGAAAGTGTTCCTTTTTGGGCCACACTGCCTTGGTGGGAGACGGCCAATGTGTTGAAAATATATACGTACATCATTTTTTAACACATCAGCGTCTCCCACAATAGGTACAATAGGGTTCAACCCTTTCTAGGCAAGTATAAATCCTGGCAAGTTTAGGGGGAGAACCAATATGAAGACAACCCCAGTAACCATGTAAAAGCAAGTGAATATAGGTGAGTAGCACAAAAATTTATTTTCCTTGGGATAATCTTGAGAGCTGGAAATTCCAAACTGTCTTCGCAATAATTTTAAGACTTTCTTTTATCCATCCTCTTCGTTGTACATGTGGGCAATTGCTCATTTTAGAAACTGCTTTTGGATTATTTTTCTCTTAAACATTGAATAATAAATATAACTCAGAGCCATCTTCCTTACCTGACCTTTTCTTTAAAGTATTAAAGGTAAAACTGGCGTATGATGTCAGATCTCACTGCCTGATTTAAACACCACCACTTCATTAGTAATTGGCTTGAACTTAACTTTTTTTTCCATACAAGGCAGATTAAACTTTGATGAGAAAACATTAGTTGGGCCTTCTTTAATAGTTAAAAAAAAACAATTATACATAAACTAACAGCATTTGCTTTGGGTATTAAAAGGGGATCCTAAAATCTGTTAGAATCATGTACATATAATAAATTGTAGAAAATCCTTAGAATACAGTATTGACTAGTAGGATCTCTAAATTAAAGCTACACTACAAATATAAACCAAGGTTACACTTTCAAATATAACCAAGGCTACATACAAAATATAACCAAGGAAAACTACAAAAAATAAACCAAGGGGTACACTACAATATAAACCAAGGTTACACAAAAAATATAAACCAAGGTTACACTACAAAATAAAAACCAAAGGTTACACTACAAAATATAAAACCCGGGGTACACTTTCAAAATATAAACCCAAGGGTACACTACAAAATATAAAACCCAAAGGGTACACTCAAAATATAAACCAAGGCTACACACAAAATTAAACCAAGGCTACACTACAAAATATAAAACCCAAAGGGTACACTACAAAAAATAAACCAAGGCTACACTACAAAATATAAAACCCGGCTACACTACAAAATATAAAACCCCAGCTACACTACAAATATAAACCCAAAGGGTACACTACAAATATAAACCAAGGCTACCTACAAATATAAACCAAGGTTACCTACAAAATATAAACCAAGGTTACAAATACAAAATATAAACCAAGGCTACACTACAAAATAAAACCACAGCTACACTACAAAATATAAACCCAAAGGTTTCACTACAAAATATAAACCAAGGCTACACTACAAAATATAAACCAAGGCTACACTACAAAATATAAACCAAGGCTACACTACAAAAATTAAACCCAAAGGTTACACTACAAAAATATAAACCAAGGTTACACTACAAAATATAAACCAAGGTTACACTACAAAATATAAACCAAGGCTACACTACAAAATAAAAACCCAAAGGGTTACACTAAAAAAATAAAACCAATTTTACACTACAAAAATACCAAAGGTTACACTACAAAATTTTTAAACCAGTAAAAAAATGATAAAACCAATTACAACAAAATTTTACAAAATCCCAACTTAATAAAAAAAATAAACAAGGTAAGTTTTCAAATAAAAAGGCTCCATTTTTACCAAAAAAAAAAAAAGGCTTAACATTCAAAATTTATAACCCAGGTTACGAACAAAATTTATATAAACCCAAGGTTAAACACTACAATAAAATAAATTTTCCAATACATAAAAAATATAAAAAGATACACTTTAACAATATATAAAAAACTAAAATACCAAAATAAAAAAACCCAAGTCCCAACAAATAAATAAAAAAGTCTAATTTTCCCAAAAAAAAAAGATTCACTAAAAATTTTATAAAAAGGGAAATAAAAATAAAAACCAATTCATACAAAAATAATAAGGTTACACTAAAAATTAAAACCAAGGCAAAACCATAATTTTAAACCAAAACTCAACTTCCCAAAATATTAAATATTTAACACCAAACTTTAAATTTTACAGCTTATTTAAAAAAGTTAAAGTATGGAATCAAAACCACCCCATCCCTTATTTAATCTTAAGAAAAACTTTAAAGATGGTAAAAATTTTCCATTACCCAAAATTTTGCATAAAAATTACAAATTCCTAAGTTAAATGTAAAAAAATTTTTTTAAATTTAATGAACAAAGTTTTTGAATCCTCGTTCTAAAGGGGCCTATTTCGGGCTTCCAAATCGTTCTATCCTGAAAAAAAAAAAAAATTATTTCTTTAATTAAAATGGGAATCTTTTCCATCCTTAAAAAACCCCAAAATGTTTGAAAATAATTAAAAGAAACTTACTTTATTAAAAGTATCGGGGATTTTTCTCATTTTATATTTGGGGATTTGGAAATTTTCAGAAGGAAAAAACATAATTTTGCAAACCCCTTAATAAATGGTGCACAAGAAAAATTTAAAAGTTAAAAGACTTGGGTAAGAAAAAAATCCTTTTACAAAATTAAAGTCAAACGGAATAGGTAGAATAAAAAAAAATAGTTCCTGACAAAAATAATTTTTCCCTTGAAAGTTAAAGGTAAAATATTTTCTTTACTTTAATATTCCAATTAAATTTATGTATGAGCACTGATTATTTAAAAATTTAAAAAATTTTTGTACCGTAAAGGATTAAACCCTCACATTACTTATTACTTACAGTTTACAATTGGGTAAAAATAACATTCCTTTTTTGGCTCAATTTCTCAAGGCACCCTTTTTGTAAAAACCGTAAATCATAAATTTCCAAAATTTTTCCATTCAAGGACCAGGAAATGAATTTTCCAAAATAAAACATCAAAAAACACTGCACGGTTTATTAATTAAATTTTTTTTCATCAAATTGTCTGCAAAAATTTTTTTAGACTTATACTGCCCACTGGGACCATTTTAAAGAGGTCAGGCTTCTCCCTTAATTTATGAAAGGGAACAAGCAAAAAATCCGTTAAACTTACTGCGACAAACAAAGGGTTAATTATTAATTACTTCCAAACTGATATAAACTCAAATTTAGATCAGTATACACACGCTCGTATACCTGGTATTTGTATCATAGTTCCCAAATCCCTTCCACTACAGGGTTTGTTGTAATGTAATTGTATTCTGTACCATGTCCACTTTAACTATAATACCTAACTAGTGAACTATGTGCTGGTACATACATCAGGTTACACATACTATAATGGAATAGTTATGATATTTGTGAAGAACACTGCATATGCAGTCAAGCTCTGGAATGCACATGCTTTGTAATCAACATGATTCAAATATTCAACTTTTGGCAGAGAGCTTTGATTATTCACATTTTTTCTTAGTACCCACTTACTTTTTTTTGGGCCCACAAAAACCCCAAATGTTGCTCAGTACATGACCCCTAAATCAAAGTCAATATTAAGCATATTAGAGCAGCATTTAAAGAAATTTGGCCAAAAATATTTAAGTAATTTGCACAAAAAATTTCTTAATCTGTGGCTTCAGAATTAACATCCCCAAAAAGCAACCCCAGCACTTAATGCAATTTAACTGCACAGTGTGCATAATGAAGGTTACAAGTACATGTATTATACTGCAATACAGAATTCTAATGATATTTGTAAAGCCCTTTTAGCATTTTAAAGGCAGTGCTAGGGAAAATGCAGTAATGATTCTGTGAATGCCATTCTACATCAATAATTTTGGACAAGACTTAAAATTTTTTCTTTCTTTCAACACACCGGCCATATCCCACCGGGGCCCGGGGGGCCCAAAAAAAAAACGAAAGTTTCCCCTTTTTTACATTTAGTAACATATACAGGAGAAGAGGTTACTAGCCCTTGTTCCCGGCATTTTAGGTCTCCTCTTACAAACGCATGGCTTATGGAGGAAGAATTTCTGTTCCACTTCCCCACGGAGATAAGAGGAAATAAAAAAGAATAAGAATATGAAAGAAAATAGAAGAAAACCTAAAGGGGTGTGTATATATGTGCTTGTACATGTATGTGTAGTGTGACCTAAGTGTAAGTAGATTATTACAAGAGTACCTGAAATCTTGCATGTTCAAGAGACAGAAAAAAGGACACCAGCAATCCCATCCTTTATGTAAAACAATTACAGGCTTTCGTTGTACACTCACTTGGCAGGACGGTAGTACCTCCCTGGGCGGTTGCTGTCTACCAACCTACTACTAAAGACTTAAAATGTCTTATTTTAAATACAGTGGTACCTCGAGTTACGAACTTAATTTTTTATAGAAGGCTGTTCGAGTGCCAATACCGAACAAATTTGTTCCATAAGGGAAAAATGTAAATTAGATTACAGTAGTCCACTTCAGACCCCCAAAAATACACTTAAAAAAGCACTTACAAAAATACACTTACATAATTGTTCAAGTCGGGGGCGTTCGAAACTTGAGGTACCACTGTATTGTATTTTAAAACAAGCAGTTCTTTGTTTACTTTGCATTTCATCAGAACTATTTTACAGGAGGGCCCCACGTAACAGCACTTTTCTTTATGGCGTTTCGCTAATGCAGCAGTTTCAATTATACCCCCTTTTTCATTTATTCAGACTTCCCACAATAAATATATTCACCAATCACTATAAGCTAAGAACAGAAAAATTTTAAGGTAAGTAATGTGTAAATGACATACATTTTTTAGGCCTAGTTTATTGCTCACATAATACATGATAGTGTAACATGTTATCAGACTTTTATACACATTTTAAAGGAAAAAAAAAGGCTATGTTTCACTTTACAGTGATTTTCACTTTACATCAGAGCCAGAAGCTAAAACCCGATGTATAAGCAGTGTCCTCCTGTACTGTGTTCATAAGCCCCCCAAAAAAAAAAAAAAATTTAAAGTCTAAATGATACATAATTTTTGTTTGAAAATATCCATGTATTCCAGTTTGTTCTCATCATTATCATCAAATAGGTGACAGTGTTTCTTTAGGAAGTTTTCTCTCAGGGTGGAAAACTCATTACCTGCAAAGATTACAATGAAGAATAAGCATTTAAAATTTTCTGGATCAAGCTATTGCTGAAAAGTTAATGTTAACATTTTATCAAGACAATAACAAACATATGTGAAAATTGTGAAGATTTCGTTCGGATTTTTTAAACCCCCGGGGGGTTAGCCCCCCAGGATAACCCAAGAAAGTCAGTGCGTCATCGAGGACTGTCTAACTTATTTTCCCTTGGGGTCCTTAATCTTGTCCCCCCGGATGCGACCCACACCAGTCGACTAACACCCAGGTACCCATTTGCTGTAGGTGAACAGGACAACAGGTGCAAGGAAACGTGTCGAAATGTTTCCACCCGCGGGAATCGAAAACCCCGGGCCCCCCGTGTGTGTGAAGCGGGGGCTTAGGGCCCCCAGGCCAGGGGTTATTTATCTATCAAACACACTCAAATGTGAATATTTTTTCACAAGACAGAGCAAGAGCACGAAAGTTTTTTGTGAACCTAACCCAACCAAATAGCCATATTCACCTTTATGGGTAATAAATTAAGATTGTTTATTTTTATTTATTTCCCTAAGAAAATGGAATAAAAAAGTGAAGAAACAACATGTATTGAAAAAAAAAAATTTAACATAAATTTAATTTTTAAAAAAGGGAAAAAGGGAGCCTTTTACATGCACTTCTTTTTAAAATATTGATTAAAAATTTTGGGGAAAACCTTCTTAACATTCCAAGTCCTTTTCCATTCCCTTTTTTTAATTATAACCCCCAAAATGCATATTTTTTGGAATTTAACCTGTAATTCCGTCCTTTAATGCAAAATGGGGATAATTTGTATTAAAATTGTACCCGAACCTTGAAAAACGGGGGATTTTACCAAATTGAGTTCAAATTGACCATTTTCCGGGCAAATGGTTCCAAAATGATAGGCCGGTTTCAAATTTCAAACTTTCCCTTAACCAACCCTTCTCCCCTTTTTCCACTGGAGTTTGGCCAGTCTAGCTTTCTTATGGCCCTTATAACCACAACCGAAACCCCTTAAATTATCGAAAATTTTCCCATTATTTCGTTTGTTTATGTTTGGGACTGTGAAATAAGACAGGCCCAAAGGGCTTGGGTTTGGACCCCTTGGGGTTGGAAAGTTCCCAGGGTGTAAGGGAAAATTTGCAAAAGGTATCGTTGGGAAGCCTTGGAGCTTGCCGGGGAATGTTGGGGAAAAAATGAATTTTTTCCATGCAAAAAAAATAGGAACTGAAAAGTTGAAAAAGGGGTTATTGTAACCCAAAAAAAGGAAAACAAATATTTTAAAATTGTTGGAAATTGTGCCCGTTGTTTGGATTTTTTTATAGATTAAGAATTTTTTAATTAATGTTTCAGAGAGAAATTATTTCAAAAAGGGAAGGAATATGGATCGTAAAGAAAAATAACAGTGCTATATGAATTTAAGGCCAACAGACGTGGTTTTAAAAGAATTTAAGAAAGCAAATGGACCATTTTTGGACCATGTGACCAGCCAGTTCAAACAAAATGGGCCGGCTGGGTTGTACAGGGTTTTTAAAATTTTTACTGAAGTGAACATAACCTGCCACTACAAGTTTTAATATTTTTTGTGTTAAAAGGGTTGTTTGGAAAAAATGCCAAAAGGACCTTCATCACACAGGAGGAAAAGGCACTGCCAGGACACAAGCCTATGAAAGACAGGCTTACTCTTTTGTTTCTGTGCAAATGCTAGTGGTGATTTTAAAGTGAAGCCTTTATTTGTGTATCATTCAGAAAATCCCAGTGTGTTTAAGAAAAACAATGTCTTTAAGAACAAGTTGTGTGTCTTGTGGAAAGCTAATCATAAGGCATGGGTCACAAGACAAATTTTCAAAGAGTGGGTCAGTGAAGTGTTTGGCCCCAGTGTGAAATTGCCACTCAAGTGCCTCCTGTTAATGGACAATGTTCCTGCTCATCCTCCAAACTTATTAGACCTCTTGTCTAAGGACTTCAGTTTTATAAAAGTAAAGTTCTTGCCTCCTAACACCACTCCTCTCCTCCAGCCCATGGACCAGCAGGTCATTTCTAACTTCAAAAAAACTCTACACAAAAGCAGTGTTTGAAAAGTGCTTTGAAGTGACCACAGACACTAAGTTGACCCTAAGAGAGTTCTGGAGGAATCACTTCAACATCTACAACTTCATAAGCCTTATAGGTAAGGCTTGGGAGGGAGGGACTTCCAGGACTTTGAACTCTGCTTGGAGACAATTGTGGCCAGATTGTGTCCAAAAGAGGGATTTTGAAGGGTTTGAGGCTGACCCTGACCCTGACCCAGCTCATCCTCTGCCTGGGGTTGGAGGTGAGTGGTGAGGATGTGGAAGAGTTGGTGGAGGACCACAGGGAAGAGCTAACCACTGAAGAGCTGCAAGAGCTTCATCTGGAGCAGTATCAGACCACAGCTGAGGAACTTGCTTCAGAGGAGGAGGAAGAGGGAGTGGATGAGGTGCCTTCTTCAAAGATTAAGGAGATTTGTGCCAAGTGGAATGATGTCCAAATATTTGTGCAGAAGTACCACCCTGAGCAAGCTGAAACAAGCCATCTTTGCAACAAGTTCAGTGACAGAACCATGTCCCATTTTAGGGAAATGTTAAAGAGGTGCCAGAAACAGAGGACTGTGGACAGTTATTTTGTGAGACAGGGGTCCAGTGACTCTCAAGCTGGTCCTAGTGGCATTAAAAGACAGAGAAGGGAAGTAACCCCAGAGAGGGCTGTACCTGAAGTCCTCATGGAGGGGGATTCTCCTTCCAAACACTAACCCCAACTCCCTCTCTCCTCCCTATCTTCCAGATGCCATCACCAATCTTCAATAAAGGTAAGTAAAAATGTTATTTTATATTTTATATTATATGTATGTATTATTTTATATGTATGTTATTTTATATGTATGTAAAACTGTAATTAATCTCTATAAAATTTATTTTTGTGTGAATATTTTTGGGTTTCTGGAACAGATTAATTGTATTTCCATTATTTGTTTATGGGAAATATTGATTCGAATTTCAGACTTTTCGAAATTAGAACTAGCTCCTGGAACGGATTAAGTTCGATTTTTGAGGTTCCACTGTAATTATGGTTTAAAAAAAAATCTAAGATGTGGTGATGAAAGTACCGCACTGAGGTTATTGACCCAAGTAACTTGCTATACTGCTGTACATTAACATCTCCATTCAAGGCAGGTGAAATTGCAGATCTAGAAAATGTACAGAGAACCTATACTGCACATACAAGTTCCATCAAACACCGTAACTACTGGGATTGCTTGGAAGCACTTGACTTGTGCTCAGTGGAGTGCAGGTGAGAGATACATCATAATCTACACCTGGAAAATCCTAGAGGGACTGGCCTCTAATCCGCACACAGAAACCACTCCCTACGAAAGCAAAAGACTTGGCAGGCGATGCAACATACCCCCTATGAAAAGAACAAGTGCCATTAGTATACTAAGAGAAAACACAGTAAGTGTCCAGGGCCCAAGACTGTTCAACAGCCTCCCACCAGCTATAAGGGAAATTACCAATAGACCCCTGGTTGTCTTCAAGAGGGAGCTGGACAGATACCTCAAGTCAGTACCGGATCAGCTGGGCTGTGGTTCATACGTTGGACTACGTGCAGCCAGCAATATCAGCCTCGTTGATCAGGCCCTGATCCACCGGGAGGCCTGATCATGGACCGGGCTGCAGGGGTGTTGATCCCAAGAATACCCTCCAGGTAGACTCCAGAAAGACATGACCAAGCCTCTGCTGACAGCAGTCATGCAATTTGTCTTTAGACCTAGATTAGTACAATTATGTAGCATGCCTGCCTCATGAATAGTAGATAGAAGATTGAGCCTTCTCATGCCTTGCTCTAAATAACCAACATAGAAACCAAATGACGGAACGGGTAGGGTTCAAATCCATGACAAGTAAGTCGCAGAACTCCAAGCCAGTGCATAAGCCACTGGGCCAGCTGGCTAAAATAAGATTCATCCAACTAGGCATATTTCTATACATCATAGGGAGATTACTAACAGTTTCAGATCTAATGTGTATATAAATTTAGTCATTTAACTGCAGGGAAAAAGATAGTATAAAATACAAACACATGGTGGCCCATGGCCTGGTAGGCACTTCACACAGATAAGCAAGCTTGGTGTTCAAGTGATGTGCATAAAGGTCTCCATATTACTTGTGTGTCATTTACTTACAATTTAATTGCACTTTTGCTATTTTCTTCCTGTAATGGAAATGACCCCATTGCAAAAATGAATAAAGTCGAAGTTTAATTAAGTAGAGTAAGCGAAAGACATCTGAAGTTTGACTATTTGCTCATAAAGACCAAAAGGCACAATACCACGTCTGGAACGTTACACAAATAACCCACTCTTTGGAGAAAGAAACTTATGACGACATTTCAGTCTGACTTGGACCATTAACTAGTCACACTATGTAACTAGCTAATGGTCCAAATTGGACCGATATGTCGTCAGAAGTTTCTTTCTCCTACATGCAGGTTATTTGTGTATATTTGCTCATGCATTTTGACTGAAAATTATACAGTGCTAAGACTATTAATTAAGGCTATGTCTATCGATTAATAAATAAAAACAACAGACATTACAATAATGGTGCCTCACTAAGTATGATGTCTTCTATATGTCCAACCAAGAGCCCCAACTGCAGAGAAATCTTGAGTTTTATCTGATGCCAACACTTCCTCCATCTCCTCCGGCACTCGTGCCATCACTGGCACCAGTGACTGATCACCACTCCCTTAACCTTGAAATTAAGAATTTTTTATATAATACACAGAATATATAATGCCTTGAATATTTAAAATAACAATACAGTACAGATTTACCAAAATATGGCTAATTTTCAAGATCACAGTATTTTGGATGCTACACTAGCACATCAAATTTAAAAAAAAAAAAAAAACATCCAAAATTAACATGATACAGTACCCACCATTTAATGCATATTGTATATGCTGTTTGTCTGCAAACTACAAGGTAAACTTTTTATATTTAAACAATTTTTACTGACTGCAACTAAACAATGTTAAGCTGTATAGCCCTTGTGGCTTAGTGCTTCTTTTTGATTATAATAATAATAATAAACAATGTTAGACTATTATATTTAAGGCTGATTTATTATACCTGACTTGTGACTAGTTTTGAGGATCCTCTACCTCAGCAGCTCAGCCTGGGGTCAGGCTTCCTGTTGATGACTTGGTCAACCAGGTTGTTTGTGCTAGCATCCCACAAACCCCCTTAGCCAGTTACCTGGAGAGGGTTTCAGGGGGCAATGCCCCCACGGCCCGGTCTGAGACCAGGCCTCATGGTGGATCAGGGTCTGATCAACTAGGCTGTTACTGCTTGCCGCACGCAAGCTGACGTACGAACCACAGCCTGGTTGGTCAGGTACTGACTTTAGGTGCCTGTCCAGTGCTTTCTTCAAGACAGCCAGGGGTCTACTGGTAATCCCCCTAATGTATGTTGGGGGGCAATTGAACAGTCTTGGGCCCCAACACTTATTGTGTTGTCTCTCAGTGTACTCATGGCACCTCTGCTTTTCATCGAGGGAATGTTGCATCTCCTGCCGAGTCTTTTGCTTTCATATGGAGTGATTTTCGTGTGCAGGTTTGGTACCAATCCCTCCAGGACCTTCCAAGTGTATGTTATCATGTATCTCTCTTGCCTGCATTCAAGGAATACAGATCAAGGACCTTCAACCGTTCCAGTAGTTTAGGTGCCGTATCGCACTTGTGTGTGCCGTGAAAGTTCTTTGTACACTCTCCAGGTCTGCAATGTCGCCACCCTTGAAGGAGGCCGTTAGTGTACAGCAGTATTCCAGCCTAGAGAGCACAAGCGATTTGAAGAGAATCATCATGGGCTTGACGTCCCTAGTTTTGAAGGTTCTCATTATCCATCCTATCATTTTTCCTAGCGGATGAGGTAGATACATTGTTGTGGTCTTTGAAGACGAGATCCTCTGACATTATCACTCCCAGGTCCTTCACATATTACTTTTCTGCCAGTGGGGGTAAGAACAGAAGGAGATTGACAATACTGTAAAAGAAATAGACACACCTTCTGAAAATAAAAATGCTGAAATTTTAAGCAGAAATCCAAGGTAGAGAAAAATTATGCCCAAATTCTCATACATGCTAGCGGCCTTCTTTTTGCTTGGCAATATTTTATTATATGTAAACTACAAATTATACTGTATAAAGCAATAAAGGACTAGGTTTGATGGCAGCCAGTTTAAGACTTTGGAGAGAAAAAGTGAAAAGCTAAATAAAGGATTACATAATGTAATGTAGGATTTATTGATGGAATGTGACTGCGATACCTTAATATGCAAGTTATTGTGATTAAATATTTTCAAATGGAGAATAAACTGGGTAACCCATGAGGCTGGAACTATAAATAAATGGTCATAACTTTTTCGGGTTATTTTAGGTAATTTACAATATACATCATAATTGTACTTGTGTAGCTGTGCCTAAATAAACTAACTTACAAAAAATTATTTAAGGTAATTTTTATTTAAGTGTTTGTATGACTTTTTGGGATCTTAGGAAACCCTACCATGCTTTACTAAATATGAAAATTTATGAAAACTGTTTTTGGGGTTATTTGTACCTAAAAAAATTTACTAAGGACTTATTTATGCATGAAACCTACTGACTGATACCCCAAAAGGCGACCAAATTTTAAGTAAGTTTATTCAGGTTTAACACAAATACAGTTACATAGAATTATCTACATACAGCATTGTGTAAGAACCTGGAAACCCCAAAAAAAAGTCAACAGAGTGATTATTTTCCTTTGGGGCCCCCTTAAACCTCAAAAAAAAGGGAAGTATTTCAACCTAAAACTGAAAAACAATAATGAAACATACTCCCCACTCCAATAGCCCTAAAAGAATTTTTCATATGTATTCATTGTAAACTATAAGGAAAACTCAACAGGACAACAATATACTATCTCAAACAACATGATTTCTCTCCCTTTCCTTTGGGAAAAAGCTGACATTTTGTAACGATTAGTAAGTGCCCTTAATACATATATACGTGTGGTGCATATAGTGTCGTTACTTTTATATTTGTGCATTATTTTTTTTATTATTTTTTTCATCATACAAATGCAACTACCTCCATACTTTTTTACCTCTTTCTTACGCTATTAATTCTCATAATTTTAAGTTTCAAGTCAAATCTAAATCCAAATTAAATTATTCATTGTTCTTACCTTCAATTTATTTTTGTTTACCACTCTTGTTTTTTTGTCACTTTTTTTTTTGGTGCAATTAGTGTATATTCCAATTACTTTTTTTTCAAGTACCAAAACTATCTTTGTAGCTATACCAACTACCTCATTTTTTTTTCTTTTATTGTGCAATTTAATGCTCAATTATTTAACCCCCTTTTGGGGGTTTTCGTCGTACTAGTACTTCTTACCGAGGGGTTTTTGACGTCTATATCAAAAATTCTAGGGGCCTCAAATTTAGGGGGAGAAAGCGGGTGGCCCTTCATTGAAGAATGGGCATGGTCAGTGTGCACGTCAAAAAAAAATCCTGCAGCACACAGTGCATAATGAAAAAAAAAAAAACTTTGACCTTTTTTTTTTTAATAAATCACGATTTTGCAGTGTTTTTCGTAGGGTATTTATTGTTGTATTCTAGTTTTCTTGGTCTCATTTTAAAAAGGGAAGACATTTTACAGAAATTGAATGATTTTACGGGTTTTACAAAGAAAGGTGCCTTGAAATTGGCTCAAAGTGCAGAAATGTTCGATTTTTCCCAAAACTTAAAAAGTAAACAAATCGTGCCAAGCGTGCATCCCCGTCAACTGGTGAGCAAATTCTTTCACAATAAACCCCAAATAATTTTATCCCATTTTTACACTAAGCGTAGTCTGATAACAGTAAATTTTATATTTTTTGTGAAAAAAAAAATTCAAAGTGGAAAGCAAAAGAATATAAGACCTTTGGACATGATAAAGATAGAGGAAATGTCTTTTAGTCAGGATGTCTTTCGTTTTTTCCCCGGGCCCTTTAGGGAAAATTTGGGCATCTTTTAAAATTTTTGTGTGAAATTTGCAAAATTGCAAAATTTTCGCCCATGTCTGGATATTTTGAATTTCATAAATGAGGGGTTTTTTCTTGCCCCCTTTCGATGAAAAAATGGAGTTCAAGTGAAATATTCAGTTTTTTGTCGATAGTACAGGAAATTTTGGCCAAAAAAAGGGGGCTCAAAGGGGGCAAAATCGCCGATGCTAAACACCCCGAGACCGAATTTTGCGAGAGCATAATTCCGTAATTTTTCTATAAAATTTAAAAACTTTTGGTGTCTTTAGATGGGGAAAAAAGATTCTCTACTTTTCATAAGAGAAAATAATTTTTTTTTTTTTTTTAAAATTTTTGGCCGACAATGAAACGATTTTCGGAGAGGGCTGTCGCCCCTAAAAGGGGTTAATATTACAAATCAACTTATCCTAAACCAATATTATTCATAGTGACTATCGCCATTTAACTTTGTTTCCAACTTAATTTTAGTCCCTTAATATTTTTTCCTTAATTTTGCTTTATAAACTACCTTATTTTCTATTTTTCCAATTGTAAAATAACAAGGTGCTTTTCTCGGTGCAAAAGTTAAAAGTTCACTTTTTCCCTTAATTCCAAAGTCATTTATTTGATTACCACTTATTGTTCACCACAACTTATATTAGTCCTTTTATTTTATAATTTTATATTAAAATTTCAACTTTAAAAATTCCCTTTTAAAATTTAAACCTACTATCATTTTCCCAAGCCCTTATTTGATCTCATTTTATTTGTTCACCCAAATTTTTTTTAGTCCCTTTTATAGTCTCCTTTATTTTAGTTTTTAAAAAACTACCTTAGCTCATTATTTTTACATTTGTTAAATAATTCAGGTGCTATTTTTTAGCTTTAGAATAATTTACTTTGTTTTATACTTAATTCAAACTATAGATTCACTACAAATCTTATGATTACAGCTTTGGGATCCTGATACCAACCTCTTATTGAATGACTTACTGTAATTACTACACAGCAAACAATCAAAGGCACTTCTCAGAACCAACAAAAACATACTGTCTTTAACTACAATATCAGATCTTAAGCAAGCATTACGATGACCTCATAGCTTTAAACTAAATTCCTTGCATGCCAATATGTCCATCATTACACTAACTGAAACCTGGCTAAAGCCTGATACTACAGTGTCTATGCCATTCCTCGTTACACAGCCATACACAACTGTAGGACAGATCAACCAAGGGGGTGGCACAGCAATATACTACTCAGACCAATTTAGAATGTATCACTAATACCTGCACAAGGGATGAACATGGGGAAATATAATAGCTAAATTAAAATCCAAATACCTACAAAAACCTCTCACATTGATAAACATCTACAGAGTTCCACAGTCAAACATTAGCCAATTTATTTCAAAACCCAGGAAGTATGATAACTGATCATGCATGAACAAAGATCACTTACTACTCTCAGGTGACTTCAATATAAATCTCCTGCAAGACCAGACCCACACGTTACTGAATTCACAAACACAATGAGTAACTGCATGTTGTTACCAACAGTAACAAAACCTACAAGACCATAACCCCCCGAATTGAACCCGCGGTCCAAAGAGTCTAAAACTCCAGCCCGTCCCGTTAGCCACTAGACAATTGACCGCGGGTTTCAACCCGGCCGGGTATGGTTTTTTGCCCAAAAGTGTCACTACGATTTCTTTAGTCAAAACTACAAGATTACGAGACTAGTGTTTTCCCACTGATCACATCTGGGCCAACACCCAATCCCTTAAAATCAGGCTAATACAGATAAACACAAGACCAAAACCTGCTTCCTCAATAAAAACTCTCGTAATTACCCAAGACACTACTAAAGTCACTTCAGAAATTCACAATGAGGCACCATTAAATAACTTCCAACAGCAGTAAACAAACATGCTGCACACTGAGCTAAAATCTATACAGATTTTTGACGAATGATTAATAAATTTTCTAAAAAAGACCAATACCTTATAACAAGCACTGCCCAAAAAAACTAAACAGATGACAGCTAAGAGACTGAACATCCCCGCTAACACCCACAATCTCAAATCCATAAATACAAAAACCGATTGAAAAACAGTACAGAAGGGTCACCAAAAAAACCAGAGACCAAACAAACGTTATCGTCAATCTAACCAGCCGATAAAAGGGCAAAAAAATTGTATTATAGAACAATTATCCAACTACAGGTGATATAAAAAGACCTGGAAAACCCACAGAAAATTTTGGAACAAAAAGATATCACGAAATAGCGAAATAAATTACAAAATCAATGAACCCCACCCCCCACCAAAAAAACGCAACAGACTCAATGTTCCTCTCCACTAAGGAAAAAAACCTTGCCAATAAAATCCCAAGCCAGATCACCCCACCAAAGCTAC